TGGGTTGCCTTTCTGTCTTAGCAACAGTGTCCTTTGCTTTACAGAAATCTGCTATAGTCTTATACATTCCCAGACTGTGCTTCCCTATCCCAAAGCTGCTCCTGAAGAGATGATCATTGTCTTATAGATATGAAGAATATCATTATTAAAAGAGATTGTGCAAAGCCCATACCCCGCATAGCCAGTTAATTGAGAAACCCGTCTGTGCCTTGGCAGTGGCTAATACTGGGCTGTCTGCCATTGACCTCCAGGGAGCCTAGTCCCATAGAACACATAGCTCCCATCCGGCATAATGACATATGTCATGTCACACATACGACACTGGAGTTGGTGTGGCAATTCATTTCTACCATTGAGGACTAGCTGAGGAAACATGTCCATGGCAAAGAAAAACCTTGTGCTCTTAGAGACAGCATAAGGAGGAAGGCAGTTAAAATTTGTCTTGCAGCAAATGCATGAAGGTGCCCTGAAGTGTCACCGCCTAAAGGTGATGAGATACTCTGGGTATGCTTGGTTGTCATAGAACACTACAAATAAACTTGGGTTTTTATCATCATCTGTGACAGTGTCGTACAAGTCAGTAGGATTTTGAGGGTCCCGTGGAGGAGGCACAATCAGTGACTGGTTTCCAGTTGTGTAGTTTCCAGTGAGAACCCGCACGTAATACATATGCTTCTTCCCATTGGCGTCTGGTCTGGAATATGTATCATGAGCTGAATAGGAAGCATGGACAGCAAAATAGGTTCCCTTCCCATAGCGTGTGGCTGCAAAGAGGAAGACATTTTAAAGGAGTGCAATGTAGCATATAAATCAACATGTTAGCCCACTATCTCAACTCATGCAAAAGGAATGCTTGGCTTGAATATTTAGCATATTTTCTTCATCATCATCAATATAATTATTGTTATTATTAATTTTCCTCCTCAGAGGTAGTCAAGCCCTTGGGGTGAAATTGAGACATATATTACTGTTTACTGCTAAAACGGACTCTATTCTGGCCAACACAATGTGAGAAACAGTGAAGGGAACCCAGGATGGTTCTAAATCAGCAGCCCATTTGGGGGAAACTGACTGCATCCTTCCTCACCATTTTTCCCAGCATAGCTGCGGTTAAATCCGTGGCTGTTGAGCTGTGGAATAGAGCTATCCTCCGTTCCGTGGAAGAGTTGTTTCTCATTTCTTTCATGGCCATTCTTTTCATCCATGATTTTTTTGTTTGCCTGATACTTCCTCCAGAGAGCAGGATTTTGGATCCTTGCAATCTATAAAGTAAAAAAGTATTAAGTTATTCTGGAGAATCTAAGAGCCCTTGCCAAGTGATAGCCAGCTACCAATTTTGTCTTTCTAGAGCAAAAATTCTACTCAGCAAATTCAGTGCCAAATGACAGCATCCTATGTTCAGAAATATTTTTAGAACTGATAAGACAGCTCAGGAAGAATATGGCAACCTGAGTTCGATCCCTAAAGTTGGAAGGAGAACCTGATTCCACAGAGTTACACTCTGACTTGTACATGTGTGAACAATCCTCCTCCTCCTCCTCCTCCTCCACACACACACACACACACACACACACACACACACACACGTGCACACACATAGGGATGCAGGTGCATGCACACACACAAACACATGCACAGACAAGGCTATCTTACTGGCCTGGAGTTAATGCACCAAATTACATTGGCTAGATATGTGCTACAGTTTTAGGCTGTTGTAAGTGACCTGATGTGGGTCTGTGAACCAAACTTGGAACTTGGGGTCCTCTGAGAGCACAAAAGAAACTCTTGACCCATGGGCCACCTCTACAGACCCATATATGAGTGGGTTTATTCAGGAACATGGGTAATATCACTTACTTAACTATGTAACATTTCCATTAGAAAACTCAGCACCCAATTTACCTTCTCTATGACGAAGTTTTGGCAGGTCTGGTGGAACTGGTTTGCCACCGTGATATACTCAGGATCATTCGTTTGCAGACTGACCACAAGCAATTTCTTCTGCCCCATGTCGCTCCAATTTGAAGGGATTTCAGCTGTAAAATAGACATTTGAGGGCTCCTGTGTACATTTCCAGTATGCTTTGATAAAACCTGCCTCCCTGTTGTATTACAGTCTCACAATTCTATGTATTCAAGACATTTCTTATCTTTCTAAAAGGATGCTGTTAAAAGTGTGGAACATGGACCATTGGTATCAGGATGAGATGGAAAACTTGTTTAAAGAGGCAGATGATTTAAGGTGAGATAGTGCAGTGGTAGATCTCTTGCCTGACACATATGAGACTTGTTTCCCAGCACCCTCTCCAGAAGAAGACAAAAGCCATCTATGTCCTGAGTTAGGGTTTTCTAGGGATGGAGCCTCTCTGTCTACTCCTGTTTCCGTCTTGCTAAGGTGTGAGAACTGATTACATGCTGTAACTCACCTTCATTTAGTGCACAGCCTCTACTCTGATGTGATTTAACAAATTCATTACTAACTTGTTCTGAACAATCTCTGTCATTTGCACATGAATGAGTTTGTACCACTGGAGGGTAGTCTACATGTATTTTCTCATTTGCCTCACTCCATAATTAAGAGGTAGATGTGTAGATGGTAGGGTTTATCTGTAGCATGCTGTATAATACCACATATTATATGTCATTCTTTTAGGGGTGCATAGGGCCTGGGGGTTCATTCATACTGGTCCTACAGAAGATGAATATAGTCTGTGGGAAGCCATGGGGGACTCATGTGGTTTGAGGGCAGGAATTGTTAGCCTACACAAGACAGACACTCCCTTCCTGGGGATCAGATATACAGGGAACCTGTAGGCCGCGACCTGGCCTGGTACCCAGGAACCTTTGGCACAGGAAAGAGAAGACGTCAATAGAATTGGGGTCTTCCCTTGGTCATCATCATGGACACAGAGGCCGACTCTAACAAGTCTGTCCTCTCCTTGACTTTTGTGTTCTTGAGAACCTTGGGCAGCTTCTCTTCTGAAATGACTTTTTTCTACCTCTACCTCCACCAGAAGAACTGATCCAGTATAAATGATCCAGGTGGAAAATGCAAGGTTAACCGTTGTTACGGTTAAGATGGTTCATCTTGGGCTGTTGGGCTCATCCATGCTCTATTTTCCTGGCCATAGTGTATTCTCTAGAAACTCAGAGACCAAGATCTTTAAATTATTCTACCAGTGTTATTTGAATTTTAACTACTTTAAAATTTAATAGAGCACGTGTGTTTCATGCCTTTAATCAATCCATTTGGGAGGCAGAAGCAGGCCAATTTCTGAATTTGAACCCATTCTGGTCATTGTTTGAGACCAGCCATGTCTATTAGTGAAACACTATGTCAAAAACAAAACAAAATAGTCCCAGGCCAGCAATGGCTAAATAATAAAACACTGTCAAAACAAAAAAAGCTGGGTGGTGGCTCACACCTTTAATTCCAGCACTAGAGAGATATAGGTAGGATCTCTGTGAGTACGAGGCAAGCCTGGTTAAAAAGAGCTAGTTCCAGGATAGCTAGGATTCTTTCACAGAGAAATCCAGTCTCAAAAAAACAAAAACAAACAAACAAACAACAAAACCCTGCCGTGTTTCTAAAATAATGTAAAAATCAAATGGGGTAATGACTGACACCCATAAGCATGTAACTTACCTTCATCTTTTAAGATGCGCCGTACTGTGACACTCTGTCCTTGAGGGCCTGTGGCCGTGTTTGTCCTCAAGTTCACTGTGAAGTCCTGATTATTAATTTTGACAACAGTGCTCTTGTGCTTTGCCTGCCGTGCGTTCTCCAACTGCATGGTAGTTATTTTGTCGAAACAGTATATGACATTGTTGTCAATATATCGCCATTCCACGAATGTGAGGACATAGTCTGCCTGGCTTTCCTTCTCTTTAGCCAATCGGATGCTCTTGATCAGGTTTTCAATCTCAACTCTAGCTCCAATCACATCTCTGCTGATTCCTGTAACTTTAATCAAAGCTGTCTTCTGGTCCAGCTCAATGACGATATTCAGCCTCTCCTGCAGCTCATTCAGCTTCTTGTACTCCTTCTCACCAAAGTCTCTGAAACACTCATCCTCAATGCTAAAAGAATTCTGCTCCTGGGTGATCAGAGTCTGTATCCAAATGATCGTGCGTTCCACACTGTCTTCATCTTTGCCACATACCTGGAAAACTGTCTGTTCTATTTTCTTCTCCAAAACCAGGGTGTTCTGTTTGCGGGGAGTGTGCTTTGAAAAGCCAAAAAAGGCTAAAGAGAAAATGAAAATTAATTTTTCGTTTACTCCCCTCAGCATCAAGGTGAGGAAAATGTATTTGACAAAAGTGAACAACTCACAGGTGATCTTAGACAGTAGAGACGGCTGGGGAGGAGCTGGGGAGCCTTCTCTGTCTTTCATGTTGTCATAAAAAACACTCAGGATATGAGGCTGGAAGATAACAACTTTGACTTTCTTCACAGCCTGCACTGATGTTTTCTGGATAAATTCTTCAATGGCATCCATTATGGCTTTAGCAACTGCATCTGGGTCCTGTTGAGCACTTCCTTTAAAACAAACACAAAAGACAAGGATAAGAT